TTTTTTTTTTTTTTTTTTTTTTTCAATTACAACTATTAAAAAAAATGTCGCGAAATTTTTAATTTTTTTGTAAAAACCTCTGCCAAAAATCCAATTTTCATTTTTTTTTTTCCTTCGTTCAAGATCTAGTTTGAAGTCTTAACTAAAGTACATATTTTTTTTTTCACTTCAAATAATCCTGCTAAGAATTCTGCTGATCACGCGGACGCATCTTTTTTTCCGAGGGCTCGCCGAGAATGACGTCACATTAACAGAGTTTTTAATATTTTTTTTTTTTAAATTTTAGTAATCCCTTATTAAATATCTATCTTTAAGACAGTAAAAAGTTTGAATAAAATATTTCATTTTTTCTATTAAGAAAAAAATTATTGAAAATAGGCCATTTTTTCCCGGAGGAAAACCCTATAACCCCTTGACCACAACAATAAATAATTTTACATATTTTTTTTCATGTTTCAGTATGGTACTAAACACATTCTAGAAGCCTTAACACAAGCGGGTCATAAAATAGAATCGATTTTAATATGCGGTGGTCTTAGTCAGAATCCATTATTCGTTCAAATCCAAGCTGATGTTCTTGGACTTCCGATTCTTATTCCTAAAGAACGAGAATCTGTTCTGTTAGGTGCTGCTATTCTGGGCTCTTGTGCCGCAAAATCATTCCCGTCTGTCAATAAAGCCATCAGAGCTATGGCGGGCTCTGTTAATATTGTTAAGCCCAAAGTTATTTCTTATCAGTAAGTTTTAAAATGGTATTTAATAATTACAATCAACAATTAATTGTATAATTAATTTATTATTTTTCTTTAGGTATCACTTAAGAAAGTACAAAGTTTATAAAAAAATGGTTGACGATCAACGTGAATACAGAAAAATAATGAATGAAACAATATAGATAAATGTTATTTTGTAAACATTAAAATTATAACTTTATAACTATTTACAAATTTTATTTTTTTTAATAAGCAATGTATGTGCGTTTATATATAATTCATGTGTATTAATAATATGTGCAGTAACGATTTAATAAAATAAAATATTTTAAGTAAAATACTTATTTTAATCAAAATATATTTTGTTAAAGTTTATGAGTATATACTTATAATATCATATTTTTAAAACAAATAATTTAATAATTTTAATTAAATGGGTTTTAAATTAAATATTTAATATATGTAAAATCAGTTTCGACTTAAAAAAATTTTTTTTGTCACATACCCCTTAAATTGCTGTAAATACCAATGATTATTTTTGTGAATAACTTTATAATAAAATTAACATTGTGCATTAATAAAATAGATAAATCAATTAAATAATAAAAGCCGTTGTATTTAAAATAATTGCAATCAGCATTTTATAAATCTGTTAATTACTTGCTGATATTAATATAAAATATTAAAAAGTTAACAGAATATATCAATGATAGAGCCAATAATCATTTTCAATAAAATGACATTAATATTAAATATTCTCCTTACTAAATAATCTCTCAGAATAATAAAATATCAATTAGCTATACGAGAGGCACTTGAGTCAGTCTCAAACGTCATCCGAAGCTCACTTGGAAGACTTTTTTTTTTTAATATAAAAAAAGTAAATGGTAATTTTTAGTAAAAATAAAATGCCTTAAAAAAAAGGCTATTGCTCATTTTAAGTTTCAATTATCAAAATATTCAAGTGAAACGGTAACACTCGACAATATGATTGAGCATATTTTGAAAGGCTACTGAAGGTATTGATCCATACCTTTGTCTCCATAAATGATTTGTTATTATTTGCTTGGCAGCTCCACGCGTTGACTCTTGAATTTCTTCACAAACTCCAAGACCGGTTTGCCATATTGTGGCTGCAATAAAATAAAGTTTGTAAATATTATTATTATTTAATAGAGAGAGATAGTTATTATTTTCAGCCGAGGTACCCGATCCAATCCTCGAAGAATGTTCAATTTTCTATAATTATTCCTTCACCATAATATTTTTTCGGTATGAGATCTCATACCATCAGAAAAAATCTCAGGTGAAAATACAACAATTAAAATTTTTGCAACAAATTTTGTTAGAAAATGTGTAAAAATGTAATTTTTTTACTTAGTGTAACTTTTTTCGATGAACGAAAAAATAATTCAGACAGCCCAGACCAGGACTCGAATTATTATTATTATTATTATTATAAAATTAAATACTAATATAAATCAATATAATTACCAAGATTATTTAAGAGTTTATGAGTATCCGGAGTGTCGAATTTTTGTAAGTGCTCAACACTAAAAACTCCGTATTGCTTTAAATCTTGAAGTGCTTCATAATTACAACAACGAGCTCGAGAATTAGCTACAATATAACTTCCAGGTAAGACTTGATTTACTATTTGTTTTATTGCTTCTTCAATCATTCCAGATTTTTGTTGTTGTGGATCGATATTATTATTGTTGATATTATTATTATTATTATTATTATTATTATTAATACTATTGTTATTATTACTACTAATGTTGTTAATATTATTGTTAATAATATTATTATTATTGATCATTTTTATCTTTGGTGGCTAAAATATAAAAAAATATTGTTAATTAATTAAAATAATTATTAGATTACCCAATTGAGTAAACAATAAATTTTTAAAATTTAATAAGGTAAAGTACCCAGTACTTGAACACTTATAAAAATGGGATCAGTATTTGAACAGACTTTTCGAATTGTTGCAATACAAAATCCGTATATTCATTATGAGTAATATGCGCATGTTTTAATTATTCAATGATACAGTAATTGATTTTTGTAAAAAAAATTTTACCACCCAATGAAATAGTCTTTTTTAAATAATGCATATTTTTTGCAAAGACATAAACTATAATTTTTATATTAAATTTTAGCGTCCAACTACATCTCCAAATTTTCAAAGCGGTACCCAGAACTGGAACAAGCTGGGGCCGTATAATTTTAACAGCATCCTAATTTGAAATACAAATATTTTTTATTTTTAAATGAACATATTCATATTAAATATTCATAGTATTATTTTTAATATTATTCAATAATATGTTATAACTCTTTTGATATTTCAATAAAACGTTGAAAATTTTTGCTGTGACTATTGCCATATATTTTTTATTAGTTCAACTACTGCAGCTTGTCAGAATTTATTGTTCAACTACTACTCTTTTCATAGTCTATCTCAATAACGTTGTCAAAATATAAATATTAAATTATCTGCGTTATTTTGCGCTTTAATTAATTCAAAATTGTTTATATTTTTATGAAAATCACTAATTTGGATTAATAATTACATTTTTATACATTAAAAGTAGGGTCAAATACGTTTTACTTTGAAACCTGTTCAACTACTGGATACTTTACCTTATTGACTAGATTAAATAATTTTCAAAAAATATTAATAAATGCTTAAGGAGGTTCTTTCGCCGCCAATGTAAAATAAAAAATATTAGATTATGAGTAAATTCAATTTTTTTCTAATAGTTAAGGTCCTTATTTATCTAATAGTGAGGTTTAAATTATACTTTACCGGACAAATTTTTGAAAAAATAAAATTTTTAAATCTTAGTATTTGTTCAGAGTCTTACGAGAAAGTCAAACAAAAGGATTTCCTTAAATTATTCAATACAAAGTTATTGTTACCTCAGGTAAAGCTTTGATGATATGCAACCACATTCGTGGAGGCAAATGACTTGCTTCAGCAATACAGAGAATTGGCTGTGAATTATTATTACGTTTCCTTGTAGTAGTTACATCAGGAGTTATGTCTGTCATATACCCACTAGGAAATTCGTCGACTAAAACAACGCAACCTGGGCCACCAAGTTTAAAATCTTCTGGGTGAGAGTTAACATAAAATTCAGCGACTTGGCTACATCTCTCATAAACTTTTTTGATTACATGCTCTTTAATTTCTGTAATAAAAATAAAAATATTCATTAGTATCAGAAAAAATAATTGACTTTGACTTTTTTGAACAGTTAAAAATTATAAATTAACTAAAATAAAATTTTTATACCAAAATTATTAGCTGCAATGTCTGACGGAATATCCTGACACCAAGCTAAAATAAGTTGAAGGCACGTTCTAAAATCCCCTTTAACTCCCATAAAAAAAGAACCTTCTCTGATAGATTGTTTTTTAGAACACGTAGGACAAACCCACGTGTATCTATCGATAACCCGAGCTGTATTCCAAGCTAGAATTTTACCCTGACATTCGGGCTGCTGGCATCCTAATGTTGTTCTTATGAGGCTAAACTCTTTCAACCAACTGCAAAGTTCTCCTTCGTGGCCCTGCTGAAACATTGGACGCACCACAAGATCAAATAAGCCCCCAGAATCTCCAATTTTGTCAATCATACATTTGCCATTGCTAAAAATAAATAAAAATAATAGAGTCAATATATAAAATAGTTGTGATTAGTAAAAGTTAATAAATACCTTGTTGGTGTTGTTGATGTGGCAATTTTAGAATTCGTCATATTTAAGCAAAGTTGAAAAATATTAAATAAACAATTTGTGTAAAATGAAAATTAATATTGATGTTAAAACAAATTAAACAAAATGAAAAAAAAAAAAAAAAAATGGAGAAAAAAAATAAAATTAAATGAAAGATTAAAAATAATTGGAGCGTCAGACGGCCATGCGGGATAAGGGTTGGATTGTCAAATGTAAACAACGCCCTTCATACCTCTACTCACATAATACCAAACCAAATAATGATTAAACGATAACTTCATGAATAAATAAAAGGTTTTATCCATCTCGCGGAAGTTTTACTGAACTAAAATAAACAGCTCGGTTGATAAATATTCGAGCGTGCTGACAACCCTGACAACCCCTTCATAAAAATTTATTTAGCAGATATTTATTAAATCTTGATCATTTTTTTAACAAATAAATTTTAGTAAAAAAATGAAAAAAAAATTGACATTTAGAAATTTTTAAAAATTAAAAATGCAATTTTTTTAAAATTATTTTTTGAAAAAAATTTGTTTAAAAAAAAAAAATAAAAAATTATCAAGTGACACCGCTAACTTTATGACATTAAAGTTAGCAGTAACTTGACAATTTTTTAATTTTATTTAACAAAAAAATTTGTTCCAAAAAATTATTTTTTAAAAATTGCATTTTTTATTTTTTAAAATTTCTACATGTCAATTGTTTTTGTCATAATTTATATGTTATAAAATTATTAAAATTATTAAATATGTGCTAAATTACTTTTCATGCTAACTTTAACGTCATCATCCCTTCTGTCCTTTCCGGTAAGAGGTATTTTTTTTTCTTTAGTGTAGAAATTTTTCAAGTGCTCTTTTTGACACCAGAACACCATGACGAAACTGCGTTAACATTACTTCAGAATAGAACAGTTTCTTCACTGCGTCAGAGAGATAGCTCTGTCTTCTTTTAATTATATGGAACACAAAATTCTATTCAAACTCCCCGAAGTAAAATCAGGAGTACTCCAATCAGACGGAGACCAGGTAATTTGAACTGATAAAAAATTACATCTAAGGGATTTATCTAAACCTATTTTGAAAGAAGTTTTGAGAGTGATCAACTCAATCCCAACTAGTTATTTGGGAAAATACGTCGTTGATCGTAGCAAACATTTTATTCAGCGTTTTATTGATCCTGAAGCTGAAAATTATGAATTGCTTGATTCGTTAAAACTTATAATAGAATCCTTATACTTGCAAAGGCTGGTAGAAATTCACATATTGGAAGAGTCTTATTTGAATATCAATTGCGCTCATCTAGAAGGTTTTGATCGGCAAAATTATTTTATACGTCCTTTTGCAAATGCCTATAAAATTTTTTTTGTTAATCACTTTGCAAACATATTGTAAGCTGAAAACTGAAGAATAAATTTTGTAAACCCAAAAGAGCTTATGTCTAAAATAATACTCTCTTTGGCATTAGGAACTTAAAAATTTTATAATCTGAAACTAAAAGTGCGCATAATTTTTTTTTTTTCTAGTTGTTTATCAATTATATTCTCAGTTTGAAATGGTGATTCATCCCTAAGCTTGATGACCTACTCGAATTAATGGCCACGATTGTATATATATATGTCGGAGATAATATCGAGCTGGATTTTCTCAGAGATAGGAAATTCCCAATATTTTAGTTTGTCTGTTAGTTTTAAGCAAAATTGTAAAGGATAGAATATTTAATAATTATTTATAACTTAAGCCGATTATAATTTTTATGGTTATGGCGATGGGCTTGAGTCCGGAGTGACAATGGTCACCAAACGTAGCCGAGGTCACAGGATAGAAGTAAAAAGTATACAATTAAAAATATTGACAGACAATGAGGGCTGTCGAAATATTTTTAAGTGAACAAGTACTTAGGATACTTTGAGGGGTAGTTCTCGTTGAGCATTGATCAAGTAAAGATCGCATACATCCTGCTGACCCCGGATTCGTTCTCGGTCTTATTCCCAGCGCTTTTACCTTGTATATTAATTATATTCGGTTAATTAATCGTAATATTGTTTATACAAGTTGGCGTACATTTAATTTCAAAATTTATATCAGTGTCATAGTTTAATTATTCTAAATTGATAAATAATGGAACAAACGAATTCAATGGACTGTACTAACGCCCCTAATAATGCTTTTTCGACATATACATATGTTTATAAACTTTTGAACTATATGTTTTTTTCTGAATCAGCTTGACGAGTTGAGTCGATAAATAAAAAAACTTTTGAAAAGTTTCATCATGAGGACAAATGCAATTGTAAAATTTCTATGAAATCTACTAAATACACTTTTAGAAGATACCTTTCTCTTTCTTTCTCTATTATTTTAGACTTATGAAAAGTAATCCATTGTCTCGCTGAAGTTTTGAAAAATAAGCTTCTTAAGAGATTATGAAAATAAATATTAATAAATAATATATCTAACGTATTTATCACTGGCTTAAAATTTTCTAAATCTTTCTTATTCCATCTTATTATACAATTATTATTACTTTTTATTAAAATTATCTCAACTTAGTATCTATTTTTAAACGTAAGGAGCTTTTCAATATCCGAATGTCTCCGAATTTTTCTTTGGGAGTTTCCCCATAATTTGCTCTGGGTTTTTCATACTTCTTGAAACGAAAATTAAGTTAGCCGACATCTAAAAATAATAATAAAGTTTAGTCGACATTTTTGATTTTTTGATTTTGCTTAAATTTATTAAATTAGAACTAAAAAATATTTTTTTATTGCCCTTGTAGTTTTTTTAATTTTTTACAAGTTAATTTTTTTTTTTAATTTTGTTGTAATAATTTTTTTATTAAAAAAATTGTTACAAAAAAATAAAATTTACATGTAAAAAATTAAAAAAAACTACAAGTGCAATTTTTTTTAAATAATTTTTTTTTGTTATTATTTAATACGTGAAAAAAATTAAAAATTGCTAAACGTCTGCTAATTCCGATATCATCTTCATTATATTCAATAATAATATTTACAATACAAATCATTTCATCATACTTTTGATTTTCCCGCGCTCCCGTAGATTATTCTACTAGGGGTCATCTGAGTGATCCGAACGGAAATGTAGCCAATGTAATAATTGTAAAGGAATTCAAAATGTAGCTTGCTCTCTAACAAGTTATATACATTTAATACTTCATACATAACACTTAATATATGTCAAATAATAGTAAATTCTATATAATAAAATACACACATTAAAACATTTAAATATCATATTTATGAAAAAAATTAAACTGTAACCCATGAACTGTAACATTACAAAAGAACGACAATTGATCTGTCTTCTAAGTCTTCTAAGTCATAAGTAAGAAATTAGTTGTCGGTGAGGTAAATTTTTTTTAGGTAACTGGCGGTGAAGGAAATTTAAATTATATAATCTAAATTCAAACACAACCTTTTTATTCTAAAAATAAGAATAATTATTCTTGAAAATATTTATTGTTTTGATTTATTAAAATATATAAATATTGATTACTAAAATAAAAAAAAAATCGCTTATTTAATGGGAAATTATTTATTTTTCTTCATAAAGTAATTTTTTTTTTTTTTAATTCTATAAAATATTAAAAACAAACTGTTCTTTAACTTGTTTCAGCTTAAACTATTATTTATTTATACACCGTCTCAACATTTATCAATAATTACGTTCTTGTCATATGAATACTATAAAACAAACAATTATTTTTTATATATATGTAATTAGAATAACATAAGAAGAAAAAATTATTTATTTAAATATAATTCGTTTAAACTTAGATTAAAGATAAAAAAATATAGGAATATCAGATATAATTAGTAAGTTCAAAAATATTAAAAAATTAAAAAAAAAAAGATGTTTTTGTTCATTTAATATTGATAAATTTTGAGAAAGTGTATAAATAAATAATAATTTAAGTTGAAACAAATAAAAAACAGTTTGATTTTAATATTTTATAGAATTAAAAAAAAAAAAAAAAAAAATTATTCTAATTACGTATATATAAAAAATAATTGTTTGTTTTATAGTATTCATATGACAAGAACGTAATTATTGATAAATGTTGAGACGGTGTATAAATAAATAATAGTTTAAGTTGAAAAAAATAAAAAACTGTTTGATTTTAATATTTTATATAATTAACAATAAATTACTTTATAAAGACAAATAAATAATTTCCCATTAAATAAGCGATTTTTTTTTTATTTTAGTAATCAATATTTATATATTTTAATAAATAAAAACAATAAATATTTTCAAGAATAATTATTCTTATTTAGAATAAAAAGGTTGTTTGAATTTAGATTATATAATTTAAATTTCCTCCACCGCCAGTTACCTGAAAAAATTTACCTTACCGACAACTAATTTCTTACTTATGACACTTTGAAGACTTAGAAGACAGATCAATTGTCGTTCTTTTGTAATGTTTCATGGGTTACAGTTTAATTTTTTTCATAAATATGATATCTAAATGTTTTAATGTGTGTATTTTATTATATAGAATTTACTATTATTTGACATATATATTAAGTGTTATGTATGAAGTATTAAATGTATATAACTTGTTAGAGAGCAAGTTACTTTTTGAATTTCTTTACAATTATTACATTGGCTACATTTCCGTTCGGATCACTCAGATGACCCCTTCTACTACTATTATTATTATTATTATTATTATTATTATTATTATTATTATTATTATTATTATTATTATTATTATTATTATATTTCATTGAAGTTTCCGACATCATGTACAGAGAGCATTGCAATCACTCTTTCGGACACAAAAAAAATGTAATAAAAAAGATAAACATATGACATAGGCAAAACACTGGCGATAAACAAAAGCAATGTTATGAAAATTAATATTCAAATATAAGTACATTTGATTATGACTATTTCAAAGAATAGTAAATACGAATCTGTCATTTAATTCGAAAGTAAGTAAATATTTAGTTTTTATTATTTTAGGTATTATTGAAAATATTGAATATCCAACAATTTTTGTGATTATCAAATTGGGTTAAATATTTTATAAACAATATAAACGCACGTGCAATTATGAAAATTGCTTTTCTTATAATTTCTATTTTCAAAATATTTAATTCATTAAATAATAATACAATACTGTTGGATATATATCTAGTGCTTTCGGTATTATTCTAGTCGTGAGGCCTTATGTAATATTTTTTATTTTATATTTTATATTTCCTGTAGGTGTTCCTTCCGAGAACTGAAGAAGTACACGGATGAAAACTAAAAGTGCCTAAGAAAAGGTCTTTGTTTGTTTTTTAAAGAGGGGAAGGGATTTTTGAGTGCGCAGTATTTAAACAAGATTAGTATAACCGTCTTTCTCCTATGAGAGGACGTTTCTCTGTGCTACGCACTTTTTATTTAGGTTTAACCGGGAACATGAGTTACTACGCAGTTGCTAAAGGACGCAATCCAGGAGTTTATCATTCTTGGTAATTATTAACAATTTTTAAAATAGTTGACAATCATTTCTTTTTATTTGTAAGATAATTTATGAAAATTATGTTAGCCGACATCTAAAAATTTTTAGAATTTTCTTTTATTGAAAAAATTAATACAAAAAAAATATAAATAAATTTTTATTTGTAAAAGACTTGAAAAACTATAAGTGCAATCTTTTAAAAATATTTTTTAGTTATAATTTAATAAGAGAATTAAAATCAAACTATTAAAAACGTTGGCTAACTATGAAAATTAAGTTAATCGGTATCTAAAAATTTTTAGAATTTTTTTTTATTGAAACAATTATCAAAAAATTTCATTTGTAAAAAACTTGAAAAACTGGAAGTGCAATTTTAAAAAAATATTTTTTTGTTCTAATTTAATTATTGAAAAAAAATTAAAAAATTAAAAACGTCGGCTAACTTCAGTATTATGATAATTTTGTTTCGCACCTGTACATGTTTGTAAGATTTTTTTTAAGACACGTGCGTTTTTTTTCATAGAGAATTTTTTTTTTTTTTTTTTTTTTTTTTTTAAATACAGAAATTAGCAGACGTCCGATAATTATTGTAGAAAACAAATAACTGATAATGAAAAATGTAATAAATAACAAAAAGTTTTGAAGATTTAATATCATTCTTGAAAACAAAATTTTAGAGATTTATTTATTATTATGTATAATTTAAAGTATCATAGAAAAAACGAAAATAATTAAATTTTCCAGGGACGATTGTAAGAGTGAGGTGAACAAATATCCCGGGGCTGTATTCAAAAAATTTGCTAGTGCAGACGAAGCTAACTCGTTCATAGCAGAACGCGATGGTTCAAGTTGCAGTAACAAGAGTATGTTATATTATTCATTATAAGTTTTAAATTTTTTGCTTATTAAAACATAATTATTCTTTAAAGGAAGTTACAGCTCATACAGCAGTGGATATTCATCAAGTTCCAGTGAGAATTCAGTCAAAAAATATTTTAAAAGAGATTTGAATACTTCTAGCAGTAAATATACTAGAGTAAATTCTAATAAAATGAATTACTATTCATCAAGCTCAAGCAGTTCGGAATCATATTCCACCGGGTAAATATAATTTTCAGTATTAAGGTTTTGATTTTTATTTATTTTAAAATAATATTTTTTATTATAAAAAACTTAATCTTGGGAATTTGGACAATAAATGATGTTTAATTATGAGGATTGCAACGTTTCGCTGATTTATTTCAGCTTCATTAGGCGAACTGAAAATCAAAAAGTTTTAGTTAACATAAATATTTGACATTTAAAACAAAAATAAATGAAATTAACGATAGTTATTCATATGGTTAACATCCTCGTGTAATTTTTACATAGTCAATAGATGTAATAGAGTAAAATAGCATATTCATAATCTCAAACATTTTCACAAATTACAGTATTAACAACTAGCTTAGATTCCTCTCAAATACCATTCAACTTAATAAATTAATAAAAACAGAAATTCAACAACGTCTGTCTGTCAAGTGTGTTTACAACTGACCCACAGGTTAGATCATTTTAATTATTATGGTTCGCCTGATGAAGCTGAAATAAATCAGCGAAACGTTGCAATTCTTATAATTAAACATCTTCATTTATTATCCAAATTCTCAAGTTAAAGAGAGATAGCCACTGTGAGGATCGAAAAAATAGGAGATTTTCGGGAATTTTTTTGACTGGGATAAAGGAATTTGGAAATCGGATTTTTTTTTTATTTTATAAAGTATACATTAAAGATCATTCTCTTAAATTTTGATAAAAAAATATTTTGTTACAAAGTTATAAGCATTTTTGTGGAAGACCAAAAAAATTTCCCCACCACGGTCTTATCTCTAACTCAAAAACAGATTATCTAAAACAAAAAAACCAAACTACGTTGTAATCTGCATGCATGTGGTTATCGTTCCATGTAGGGGATTTTGAAAATTTCGATTTAAAAAAAATGGTGACATTTTTCGTTTTTTTTTTTTTTTTTTTCTCATCTTTTTGGATTCAAACAGCCCAAAAAAATCTTAAAAATCAAAATTTTCAAAATCCCCTGCGTGCAACTAGGGTAAAAGACCCCATTAGTGGCGGGATCCCATTACTGGCACTTTCTTTGATTTTGGTATTTATTCAATTAATGAAGTCATTAATTTCTATAATGAATATATTATTTCTAATCTTTAAGACCTTGAGATCAAAAAAAATTTTAATTTTTATCCCAAGTAGAACATTTTTTTATTAAAAGAAAAAGTGCCACTAATAGGGCTTAGAGGTGCCATTAATGGGGTTTTTTACCTTATAGCTACAGAATAGACGAATACGGGAAAAAAAAGTTGCAAATCGGTTCATATTTATGCAAATTACAGATCTCATCAGTTAAAAAAAAAGTAGTTTCGAAAAAAACGCGTTTTCGTCGGAGCGTCGCACGTGCAATGGTCATTTAACACGCTGTCACAAAAATTACTATAACTTGAAAAATATTCGGAATTTTCATATAAAACTCCAGATACATATTTTTGAATGTATAAACTTAAATATTAATTTTTTATTATATTCAGATCAAGATCATTTTCATCCTCCAACAATGGTGGGTTTAAAAAAGATCGAGACGGTCGTGTAGATATTTATACTGATGGAGCTTGTACTTCCAATGGTTCCAAAAATGCAAGAGCTGGTATTGGCGTTTATTTTGGAGATGATCATCCTTCGTAAGTTATTTTCTTTTACAATAATAATTATTTTAAATTTCTTTGGCTTTTAATTAAAAATATAATATTTATCTACCGACAAATAGAAATGTTTCGAAGCCAGTACAAGGTCGTATAACAAACAACAGCGCTGAAATAGAAGCTGTAATCGAAGCAGCGAAAGTTGCCAAAGATAATGGCATAAATAAAATAAGAATCAACACTGACTCTCAATTTTTGATAAATTGTCAAACCAAGTGGATGAACAAGTGGAAAGCCACTGGATGGGTAACTTCCAAAAAAGAGCCTGTTTCTAACAGAGAAGAGCTGCAAAAAATGGACCGAGTCCTGTCTGAGCTTGATGTTGAGTTTGTAAGTGATTTTTTTTTTTATACTAATTAATTATCTTGTCTGGTCTGGTTTTTAACTTATCATTATCACAATGTTTATATGATAGAATCACGTTCGAGGACACAAAGGCGTTTATGGAAACGAAATGGCTGATAAGTTAGCCCGAGCTGGTGCCAAACAATCGAAATGATTATATTGTTTACATTTTTTGTTTTACTACTCTTCGATTGGATTTAAAAAAAAAAATGAGTATAAGTTTTACGGATAAATTTATGAGCCCGTTAATTATTAATCTAAAATTACTATATATTTATAGCAGTGGCATGTGTTTAAATAAATAAATAAATTAACTTTTTAATAATTACCGTAAAAATAAAATCAATTTTTTCATCCAAGTAATTGAAAACAAGTGAGTTATCAGTTTAAAACTAAAACAATTGAACAATTGAAGGAACTCGATATTTAAATCTGTTTTCCTTTAATTATCACGTACTTTAGGTATAAATAATAAATAAAAATACACTTATAATAAATACAAGTCCTTATTTATATTCTCTGTTACTGGCGCCTCAAGTCATTATTTAAATTTAAATAATTAATGATGAATTCATTTAACTATTTGCTGATACTATTTGCAACTCTCGCCCATTCACAAGTAAGTGTTTGAATAAATTGATTTTATAAATATTATTTATATTAAAATTTTATTTTGATAGCTTTCGACCGAACGATTGAATTTCACCTGCACTTTTTATGGAACAAAAATAAAATTGACGCAAAGTGAGCCGTTCACTGGAGTAATGTACATTAAAGATCGTAAAAATATTTGCAAACAAACTTACAAAAATGTTACGACACCGATGTTTAATATAAAACATGATACTTGTTCGACGGTAAATAAAAATGGGTCAACATTTAATTTAATTGTCAAGTCAAATAATAATAAGACAATTGGGTACAGTGTTAAATGTTCATTTGTTAATACAACTCAAGTAATTAATTTGAAAAAAAAATTAAAGATTACTTCGAGCGTAGAATTGCCTAAAATTTCAACAGAAACTTCTAATTGTCCGTCGAATTGGTATCTTTATTGGTTTATTTATATTCAATCCAATGAAACCTGTAATTGTAATTGTACAAATTAATATTGTTTACTTTATTAAACATTAAAAAAATGTTTGATATCTGAACTTTTTAAATCATTTATAATAAATTAATAAATAATAAATTTATTCATTTTGAAAAATGTTTACCTGTTATTTTTAAACCTTAATTATTTTTAAAATTATAAGTAAGTTTACTAAGAAGTTATATTATAAATTTTTGTATTATATTAATTGAATTGATGTTGTTCTACTTATAGGAATACTTGAAGAATATTAGTATGTCGTCCAAAAAATATTCCATGTATAAATTATATTTTAATGATAAGTTTTTTTTCACTGTTTAATTAAACAGAATTAATCATTAGATATAAATTCTGTTGATAAAAATGAATAATCGTGCAAAAACAAAAATCTTTTGACGATTTAAAGCACGAATATGCGTACAAATCTCTTCCGTGCGTGCAGTTATTCAAAATTAAGAATATTATCTGTGGTAATCAGGATACGAGGATTGGTATATAAGCTGTGGATCATCTTCAGTTAAGTATATTCGACTAAACCGTTGAATTAAATTAATTAATCCAATAATGGTTTTCCTAAAAACTGTAATTGTTCTCGCGATTTTGGCTTTTGCTGTCAAAGCTGCTGAAGAAGAAAAAGTGGTAAGTAAAAAATTTTAATTAAATTAATTAATATATTACTATTTATTTATTTATTTATTTATTTCAGCCTGATGTTCTAGAAATTAACTTGGTAGAAAAATACATAATTAACATCTCTCTTTATATTGTCTATATATCATTGCATCATATTATAAACTTCAACTTAAATACTTTATTACTTATTAAGCTTAAAACTAGAGCATATATTTTTAATTCTTAAATTCTTAGAATACTTAGGGCCAGTTTTTCAATCCAAGATAAAATTTTATCCAGGATAAAATTATTATTACCAATATATTTATATATAGATATATTTTATCATTGGATAAAATTTAATCTTGGATTGAAAAACTGGCCCTTAAATTACTTAAATTTTTTAATTCTCAAGGGCCAGTTTTTCAATCCGGGAAAAAATTTCATTCATTATATCTATACATTTTAGATACATAGATATACTGACAATAATTATATCTTGGATAAAATTTTATCTCGGATTGAAAAACTGGCCCTAATTAAATGTCTTTGTTGATTTACACTTTGAGATTCTTAATGAAATTTAAACACTTACTTCGATTTGCACTGTACTTTTTTAACTATTGACGTTTTTAAAGATATAAGCTCATCCCGATGTTACACTCATCAAGAGCTTTCAGTTGAGTGCCCACATGCATTTTTGATATATTTTTCATACATACATATATATAATTATATGAAAAATTGATTTCGGTACTCAACGAAAGGATTCGATGAGTGTAATGTCAGGGTGCGCTTATATCTTTGAAAATTTCAATAGTTCACAAGATAAAAGGTCGTTTCTTAATTATGTATCTAGAGATAGAGCATTTTCGAATGCAGCCTTAATTCCTATCATAATAAACACTATTGACTATTGGTGAGAATGATATGAAACCTTGAAAAGGCACAACTTAAAAAATGCAATGTGGATACTTAAATGAAAAGTCTTGATGAGTGTAACATCCGGATGAACTGATATCTTTAAAAATGTCAATAGTTCACAAGATACAAGGTCATTTCTTAATTATGTATCTAGAGATAGAGCATTTTCGAATGCAGCCTAAATAATTATCATCATAAATTGACTATTGGTGAGAATGATATGAAACCTGATTTCAGAATACAACGAAAATATTTGTCCACTGTTCAGCAACAAATGTCAGCGTAAAATACACACCAGAAGCGAATATAGCTGGTAAATTTTATTTTGAAAACTCTACAGACCCGGTGTGTCAAAAAGATTTTTCAAAAGGAGCTGAAGAAACATTAGTGGTGGATTATAAAACTTGTGTTCCGGATGAGAATAAAAACTTTAGCATTATTGTCGAGTACGTTAATGAAGCAAATGAAACTAAAAAATCCCGTGGGTCTGGTAGTTGTCAACTGCAACCTGTTCAGAATCTTAAATTTTCAAAAGGTCTGACAGTGAAGGCAGCACCACCAGCCGAAAACCATACAGCCGTTGAAGAATCAGACATTGAGATTGAGATGATTCCTATTGAACTGACGAGCGAACCAACCCTGCAAGGTGACTTGAAATTACTCAGCAGTGAAGACAAAGAAGTTGAAGAAGTTACTGGAGGAGACAAGATCAAACTGGAAATTGAAGTATCAGGATCTCTGGAAACTTTGGCTCAATACAAGAAGATCTTTGTCGAATCATGTGTTATTACTTCGGCTAAGAACGAATCAGACAAAGTCGAAATCAATTACGGATGCAATCCAACTGATTCCGAGATCCCGCAATGGACTCAGGAGAAATACAAGTTTACTTCCGAGTACACAGCTAAGCAGCTTAGTGAAGACAACAGTATTACTATTGACTGTTCAATTACGGCTTGTATTGATGAACATAGCTGTCCTAAGGTAAATTTTCTGTGAATTTATTATATTTTTTAGATTAAGTGTTGTACATGAAAATTGATAACTTAATTGTTTTTAGCCTGAATGTCCAGAGAAAGCTCCTGCTAGAAGACGTCGTGATGTACTTGGCCGGTTGCTTACTAATCTCGACATGGATGAATCCAAATTTGAAACAATTAATGTCAACTCACCACCTTTAACCATCTCTGGAATGAAAGAAAAATAATTTCTGAATTTATAGCCATACAATCGGGGTTATGTTAATTTCTTCTTTTTTAATATTTTAAATCCCCGTTAACTTGATTTTTTTTTTTTTTTTTCATTACTTTCAATGCTAATTTTATGTAATAATATTGAGTTAATAACTTACCAAAAATAAAATTTATGTTTACTCTTAATATGTTTTTTTAATCATTCATCACGCAGTCGAACTTCCAGCCTCGTCGGTTTTTGGAGGCACAGATAAATCTCTTAGAATTTTGTAAATGTCTTCTGGAGTAACCCGCAAGTCCAATAACTCACAAATGATTCTATTAATTAATTGGCATTAGTATAAGGAAATATTTACTTTAAATTTAATGATAATGAAATCAGCAGACATCTAATTTTTGAAATTTTTATAACTAATCAATTATTAAAAAAAAAAACATTTTTTTCATTATAATTTAAATGTTATAAAAATCAAAAAAACTTTTAAATATTTTTTAAATTTAGTAGATGAAAACTAATTTAGCAGATATTTGATAATTTTACGAATTTTTCTAATAACAAATAAATTATGGTAAAAAAATTAGAAAATTAAAAAAAATTAAAAATGCAATTTTTTAAAATAAATTGATTTGTTAAGAAAAATTAAAAAATAATTAAGTGGCTGCTAACTTAAATGTCATATTAAATTGCATAAAATTTACGAGTATAACCTTACTTTATAACTGATGGTGATATTTTTAATCCAGTAATTTCTACAAATGAAATGAGCTCCGGTAAATTATCTAATAGTTTAGACATATTTCACTTAATTATCTATTGCATTAGACTTAGATTTTACTTAATTAATTATTAATACACGATTTAATATAAGTTGTTGTTGTTGTTTATTAACAATTTGTTGTTGTTATGCTGGTTTTTGAGGTTTTTGACTAACTCTCTGTCATTTTCGGAATCGGCTGTTGGTAAGAAAAAATCGCAAGTGTTTTTTTTATTGGTTTAAAAATTGACGCTCTTAGTTGGAGATAGATAATAATAATTGTCATTAAATATATACTTAAGTATTAAAATTAATGATACTAAAATTAGCCGACGTTAAAAAATATTTGATTTTTTTTATTAATTAAATTAAAACTAAAAAAATATTTTTAAAAAATTTCACGCATAGTTTTTAAAATTTTCTACATGTGAAATTTTTTTCTTTCAATTTTTTTTAATAATTTTTCAATAATATAAATTACAAAAATTTTCAAATGTTGGCTAATTTAATTTTCATTTAAAATTAGTACTGTTGCAACGTTAACAATTTTTGATTTTAATTATCAATTAAATTACAAGTAAACAAATACTTAAAAAATTGCACGTTTAATTTTTTAAATTTTCGACATGCAAAATTTTTTTCTTTCAATTTTTCAATAAAAAAAAATTGTAAAAATTTTCAGATCTCGGCTACTTTAATTTTCATAGATAACCGTTTTTCTAAGATCTTGTAATTTGTTTGAAAAAAAAAATGAAATAAGTAAAAGATCCATTTCAAGGTTTGTCAAATTGTTATGTAATTAATTAAAAATAAAAAAATTTTTAATTTGAATTAAATTTTATTTATTTTGTTCTTTTTTTTTTCATTGATAATAAATTTAAAAATTTTTTATTTATATATTACATCAGTATGTTTATTTAAAATAATTACACATAAACGGATTGTAGGATTGAAAACTTTGTTTTGGTCTTGCATTTTTTAAACGGGGAAAAAATATATATTTATATATTTTTTTTATTTTGTATTTAAGCTTACATTTTACCTGTAGGTACTTTGGACTACAGAGTCATAATTTTTTTTTAATTTATTTCTTTAATTTTTATAATCTTCAAGATTTATAAGATTATAAAAAAGTATCTTCAATCTTACTCTTTATTGTAAAATAATTTATTTAATTATGAATAACTAACACTTATACAGAGAATTATCGATTTTTAAAAATATACTAAAGTTTACAAAAGTTTTATTAAAATCTAATTACCATCGACAATTCCATTTAATCAAGTGTTTTTTTTTTTTGCCAAGCAAAGAAACACGTAAACGACGGTCTACTGACGAGACAAACTTTTCTACAAATGGTAATCCTAAAAGAATATGCTTTGAACAGAGAGAAAGGTTCATTGACTCTCTTGTCGGGTGTGACAGAATCAGCGCCGAGGAATTAGCTACCCGAGCGGATGAACTGAGAGCTGAAGTCCAGGTTTTTATAATTATATTTTAGATTTTTTAAGTTTCTTGAAAGTGTGATGACTGATGGTTTTTTTTTTTTTTTCTTTTTTACTTTAGGCGCTGGACGAGCTTGCGAGAGCCAAAGAGATGGAGTGGAATGAAATTTTAAGCATGAGGAAACTTAAAGAAGAAGCTTACCTGAGAGTTGAGAGAAAGAGACAAGTTATGGGTTTTCTAGAGAATAATAACGGTCAGATGTCTGACAGTTTACCACCAGCAAGTCTATCGTTGATGTCTGAGTGGAGTGAATCCCATCGAGAAGCCAGTCAAGAACGCCGGGCTCAAGAGACTCCAAGTGCCAGTGATGTTACTCATGAAGAGAGAGTAAACTCGAGATTGCGGGTTGAAGTCGGACGGGAAAATCTTCAAGGTACAGAAGATGAAATTCCTCTGGCAATTTCAAAGGGCGATGATGAGGTGGCAAATTTGAGTCAAAAGTCATCGAGAAATGCTTCCGGAGTGTCTTCCAAGCACCAGCACCAGCACCAGCACCAGCAACAACAGCTTGTTGACGGACGAAAGCTAAGACGTTCTGCTGGTGAGCAAAATTTAGATAATAGACAAATTGGCGAAGGTCGACAAGGCCCGATCGTTGATGTCAGATCAATAATTGCTGATTACCGGTTACGGCATCCAGAAACGGTACCTCGTCGCGGCAGGAGGATGAGGAATTCTGTTAATGTTAATCTTGGAGCTGGCGGCGCGATGGTTGAAACAGGTCACGGAGATTCTAGACCTTCTAGCACTGACTCGTGCAAAAGTAACTCCAATGTTGGAGACGTTAATAATCCAATGAGTTTCAAAGATGTTCTTGTGCAATTTGCTAAGCTTAGCCAACAGCAGGGTGAACCTGTAAAAACCCCACAAAATTATCCGGATGTAACCCTTCATCCTGTCGCACCGACTACGGTTACCATAAATCCGGCGGCTTCTACTCAGCAAACGGGATCGCTTCTCCATGGAATATTGACTAAAAATCAAACGCCTCGACCTACTACATTCTCGCCGACTCTTGCTAGATTATTAACCGCGCCTGAGAGAGAAAGAAATTCCGCGGCGTCTGCTGCTGTGATGACCCAGCAGATAACTCACGGACAAAATCTTCTTCAAGCTTATCAAGGAACTAATCCAGTCTCTATCAGTGATCTCCTTTCTTCTTCCAAGGTAAAAACACAGTAATGATATTAAGATTATATTTCAATCATCTGTAATTAGTTTAACGTTGTTTTATCCTTTATTCAATTAATTAATGATTTTTTTTTTTTCCAGGCGCGAACTGAAATTACAATTACTCCGGTAGTGAACACTCAGATACCGTCTACTCATTTAAATAACGTTGTTCATGTGGTAAGTTAGTTAGTTATTAAAGTTTGAGTACTTTTATTATGAAATAATGATTTTATACTCGTTATTATTGTTATAGGATGACGTTGAAGAGGACAATTCTCTTATTGATGAGAGAGATACCAGACGAGGTTCAAGTATCCGTGATAATCGCGAGGACCGTGATACTCCTCCCCGTTGTCAAGGATGTCACGACCGTACTGCTCAGTTTGTTTGTGCTGGCTGTGGTAACCAATGGTATTGCAGTCGAGAGTGCCAGGTAATTTATATTTTTAATTGGAAATTCAATACAATTGAAAATAAAAATATATTTATTTTTAATATTATTGTTATTTATTAAAGAGCATTTATTATTTTAAGCCAACTTATCCGATTTCATGGTAGACTATTCAATTTTTATTTATTAATTATTTCACCACATTATTGTCAGTATGAGCACTCATACCATCTTCGGGTGAAAATATAATAATTAAAAATTTTTATTTTTGTAAAGATGTAATTGTTTGCTCAGTGGAACTTTTTTCGGTAACCGAAAAAATAATTTGCACCACTCAGACAATTACTGAAAAAAGTTTCACTGAGTAAACAATTACATCTTTTACAAAATTTGTCTTAAAATCAAAAATAAAAATTTTTAATTATTATATTTTCACCTGAAGATGCTATACTGACAGAGTGCTCATACTGACAATATTGTGGTGAAATAATTAATAAATAAAAATTGAATAGTCTACCATGAAATCGGATAAGTTGGCTTAAAATAATAAATGCTCTTTAATAAATAACAATAATATTAAAAATAAATATATTTTTATTTTCAATTGTATTGAATTTCCAATTAAAAATATAAATTACCTGGCACTCTCGACTGCAATACCATTGGTTACCACAGCCAGCACAAACAAACTGAGCAGTACGGTCGTGACATCCTTGACAACGGGGAGGAGTATCACGGTCCTCGCGATTATCACGGATACTTGAACCTCGTCTGGTATCTCTCTCATCAATAAGAGAATTGTCCTCTTCAACGTCATCCTATAACAATAATAACGAGTATAAAATCATTATTTCATAATAAAAGTACTCAAACTTTAATAACTAACTAACTTACCACATGAACAACGTTATTTAAATGAGTAGACGGTATCTGAGTGTTCACTACCGGAGTAATTGTAATTTCAGTTCGCGCCTGGAAAAAAAAAAAATCATTAATTAATTGAATAAAGGATAAAACAACGTTAAACTAATTACAGATGATTGAAATATAATCTTAATATCATTACTGTGTTTTTACCTTGGAAGAAGAAAGGAGATCACTGATAGAGACTGGATTAGTTCCTTGATAAGCTTGAAGAAGATTTTGTCCGTGAGTTATCTGCTGGGTCATCACAGCAGCAGACGCCGCGGAATTTCTTTCTCTCTCAGGCGCGGTTAATAATCTAGCAAGAGTCGGCGAGAATGTAGTAGGTCGAGGCGTTTGATTTTTAGTCAATATTCCATGGAGAAGCGATCCCGTTTGCTGAGTAGAAGCCGCCGGATTTATGGTAACCGTAGTCGGTGCGACAGGATGAAGGGTTACATCCGGATAATTTTGTGGGGTTTTTACAGGTTCACCCTGCTGTTGGCTAAGCTTAGCAAATTGCACAAGAACATCTTTGAAACTCATTGGATTATTAACGTCTCCAACATTGGAGTTACTTTTGCACGAGTCAGTGCTAGAAGGTCTAGAATCTCCGTGACCTGTTTCAACCATCGCGCCGCCAGCTCCAAGATTAACATTAACAGAATTCCTCATCCTCCTGCCGCGACGAGGTACCGTTTCTGGATGCCGTAACCGGTAATCAGCAATTATTGATCTGACATCAACGATCGGGCCTTGTCGACCTTCGCCAATTTGTCTATTATCTAAATTTTGCTCACCAGCAGAACGTCTTAGCTTTCGTCCGTCAACAAGCTGTTGTTGCTGGTGCTGGTGCTGGTGCTGGTGCTTGGAAGACACTCCGGAAGCATTTCTCGATGACTTTTGACTCAAATTTGCCACCTCATCATCGCCCTTTGAAATTGCCAGAGGAATTTCATCTTCTGTACCTTGAAGATTTTCCCGTCCGACTTCAACCCGCAATCTCGAGTTTACTCTCTCTTCATGAGTAACATCACTGGCACTTGGAGTCTCTTGAGCCCGGCGTTCTTGACTGGCTTCTCGATGGGATTCACTCCACTCAGACATCAACGATAGACTTGCTGGTGGTAAACTGTCAGACATCTGACCGTTATTATTCTCTAGAAAACCCATAACTTGTCTCTTTCTCTCAACTCTCAGGTAAGCTTCTTCTTTAAGTTTCCTCATGCTTAAAATTTCATTCCACTCCATCTCTTTGGCTCTCGCAAGCTCGTCCAGCGCCTAAAGTAAAAAAGAAAAAAAAAAAAAACCATCAGTCATCACACTTTCAAGAAACTTAAAAAATCTAAAATATAATTATAAAAACCTGGACTTCAGCTCTCAGTTCATCCGCTCGGGTAGCTAATTCCTCGGCGCTGATTCTGTCACACCCGACAAGAGAGTCAATGAACCTTTCTCTCTGTTCAAAGCATATTCTTTTAGGATTACCATTTGTAGAAAAGTTTGTCTCGTCAGTAGACCGTCGTTTACGTGTTTCTTTGCTTGGCAGTACTCTTGACTTTTTTTTAACTTGACTACAATCCTCATCATCAGACTGTCGTTCCTTTTTAACAAGACTATTTTGAATTCTCTCAACTTTAACCCGGCCAGTCGTAACAGAGGTTGCAGTCGCGGTTTCCTCCGGTAATGCCGCACCGTTCTGACGACTTTGCGGCACTTTTGGTGAATCTCCCGTGGTATCATCTTTCTTGTCATTGACGGTTTTGTTACCAGGACTCGAGGCGCACTCCATCGCATGCATCTTGTTTAAACTGCAACAAAGATCCATTAAATTAATTATTCATACAAATACTTCTGTACTAAACTACAATTACTAGTTACTAGTTACTAGTTACTAGTTACTAGTTACTAAGAGGTAAAGGGTTCCATAGATAAATTTTAAGGGTAATGTGGCTCTTTGTGTAGTGCCGTATCATAGATACAAGACAAAAATATAAGTATGTTCAATACAAAATAAGAAAAAAGACAAGGAAAGAGTGTCGGGGCTCAAGAGGTAACCGTCGCCCCTGAAGCGTCGTCGTCGATGCTCTAGAATAGAAGGTGACCGCGTGGGGTTAACGCATTCTGTCGAAAGAGTCTCCCTGCTTGCTATCACTGACGTGGCTTTAATACACACATATATATATATATTTACTAACTGGCTGTATGTATACATATCGGTAGTAAATATATATAAATTTATATATGTCTCGTACGTACGTATGTATGCTGTGTAGATGGATGGATGTTGGTTGACTCTATGTAGGCTTACTAAAAGAGCAAGAGAGAATAATTTTACGGTGAGACCATGAAGAAAGATAGATGAACAAGAGGTCGACAGCGCCGCCAACTAGAAAGTTCGTTGCACCCGGTGCCGTTCGCCGCACTCCCGCCGTTTTGGTGTCATCTCGCTGATATGTGTTATAATTCACCCCAAAAAAACTTCCCTTTCGTTGTGACGTCAATGTTATATCTATCTATATGTATGTATTTTTGTATTTATAAATATAAATTGAAGATGATGATGATTGATGATGAGTATTGTTTTAGAAAATAGAAATGGAGATATAGATACTGATACGGGTTATGGTGACCAAGACAATCAAGATGGTATTATTATCTGACACTCACGTTTAATTTAAGTTGATTGTGTTTACGATCATGTGTCGACACGTTATGTTGTGTTAGAATAAAAGCGACTGGGAGCTGAGCAAGCGGGACGGAGATATCGGGTGGAAGTAAGACAGAAAAATACGAGAAAGTGAAAGGGAAAGAGTGACAAGCGCGCGGCGACCAGGTCTAATCGCGACTAGAGCTTCGTCGCCATCGTTGCATCAGTTTGAGGGTGAAGGGAACGGAGGAGGTACGTGAGAAGAACCAGGAGAAGGAGGAGGTCAAAGACGAAGGCGAGCTGGCTGAGAGTTAAGTCGATCTTCGACTGTAAAATCTCTTGGAATAGGTCATGAAGAAAGAAAAAAGAAAAAAAAAAAAAAAAATATATATATATATATATATATATATATAT